CTCTCTCCCCCTCTCTTTCTTTCTGTCTCTATCTCTCTCTGTCTGTATTCAACTCAAGAGTGCTGGAACGTTTGTTTACACTTGTATCACGGGCCGTCACGCGCTAAAACATTAAATAAGGTCGGGCCCAAGTCTTGCCCGAACGCGAGATAGGGCAATTGAAGCATTTTGGTTGGAGAGAATCTTTGGTTTGGGGGGGGAGGGGGTAAATTTCCTTTCTCTTTCGGATGCTCACCAGACAAGAACGTTGGCCTTTGAAATGACGTGAAAACATTCATACGTGCATTGTGTAGGCCTATCTTGCAAGGAGTTGAACCCACAGAAAAGCAAATGATTAAAAAATTGTTTGTTTGTTTGTTTGAATAAAAGGAAGCACGACGACACAAGATTAATCGTATGCAAGGAAAGAGCAAAACACACAAACACGAACACACATACACACAAACACATTAACGCATTCACCGTTGAGAAGCAAAATGCCCTTTTCAACCCGGGGCCGATGCAGCTCGCGTCTAAATTGTGTCGATGGTGGGTGGCGTCAAGAACTGTAATTTACTGTAATAACTAATAACACTATTCATAATTTAGTAGGCCTAAGGCCACGCCAACAAAATCCGGCTGAGCGTTGGACGAGGGAACGAACAACAACACAGCTCGCCGAGCGGTGAATGTGACCCAGACCTAGGATAACATGTCATACATGATAACGGAAAGTATAACTAACATAGGCTCACAACAGTCCACAGTCAGCCTACGCAGCGCGAATGATGCTGAATGAACCGCACGCACAACGTGAGGGGTAGATCAGAGAGTTTACAGTATTACTGTAAACCTATACGTTCTTAACCCCTCTCTGGTGTAGCTCTAGGATCTCTAAGCCTTTGTGATCGTGTTGTGAATCTTCAGGCCTTCGCTCGGGCACAAACCGAATGTGATCGACCACCGCGCAGCCGCGCGGAGCCAAATTTAGGTCGGCCGACGTGCTGCTTCCGTCACGGCGAGCCGAACACACTGAGCGTGCTTGCGTCGCTCGGGGTAGCCTAGGTCTATTCGTGTTGTTACTGTACAAGCTTTGCTTCTCTTAGAAGGCCTATTGATCCAACCATTTGGGACCAACGTTTGGGTTGTTCGACAAAGTAGGCCTACTAGAAGTACAGTGTGTGTGTGCGTGTAGCAACGCGTTAGATTTCTCAGTATTGAAACTACATTAGCTAAACTGCCTGCCTGTTCCGTTTATTTCTACAGCTGTGATTTATCACATATTATCAGCCCTTCAAACTTCAAGTTGTTTGTCGTGAAAAACTGTCGTCTGAACTCGTTGCTCAAGAGCAGAGATCGCCACCGTAACCTGTACATGCACTGCTCTTCAGCGAATCCCACGTTCTTTCGTGTTCGTTCTGGTTCGCTATCCTCAACATGAACGTTAGCGCGGATTGGGATAAAGACAGATGCTTTCGTTTATTGGAGGAGTATGAAAACTATACCGAACTGTGGGATACACGAAATGATTTGTACTACAGCAAAAGTAGGAAAAATGATTGCTGGGAGGCCATTTCAGTGACTATGAACTGCCATGTGGACGAAGCGAAGAGGAAGATGGAAAGTCTGCTCGCCAGCTTCAGGAGAGAAAAGTCAAAAGCAAAGAAGATAATTGCCCTTGGATTAGAAAGAGGTAATAGAATATCACTTTTAATCGTCTTCTCGCCCCTCGTCCTCTCTTGTTCCTTTCTCTCCCCTTTCCCCCCTCGTCTCCTCTTCCTCATCTTCCACCACATCCTCCTGCTTCTCCTCCTCTTTTTTAAATTTATACTACTCTTCCTCCGCCATCGCCTCCTCCTCC